TGTTCTGAATTTAGCAAACTTGCTAAACGCCTGTTGATTCTAATAATTTTTTTTATTTAAAGAAAGGTAAAACAAAATAGGAAATGGGCAGAAATAGTACATACTTTCAAAGAAAAGAAATAAACAGTAATAAATCACTAGTTGATGTATACATATTGTCCCCCCACAAATAGTTGTTCAAGATACAAAAGTGGAACATATAAATGGGAATTCAACCAGGGAGACTGCAAACAGTTCTGTTCAACTATCCAACAAAAACTAAGTAAATATGGCTATCAATCCTATACACTTAGACATGTACGCGTTTATCCATATCTTCATTTATGTTGAGAGCTAACAACACTTACTGGATTAAAATCCTTCTGAACAAAGATTAATAATATTGCTGGATTTCACATCACAGCACTCCAGAATCAGCGCTGCGTACTACGTGCCCCTTTCTTTCCTTCAAAGTATTTGTTCATTCCATCATGTGTCATACGATCAGTTCTCATTAACTGTTTAGCATGAGTCTTAACATGTATTTCTATCCTTTCTATATTAGAGGGAGAAACAGAACAAAGCAGGACAGAATTAAACATATTCCTATAGACACTTAAAACTAAAAAGACATATAAAACTGGTGTATAAGAAGTTCTACCATGGTCACTGTGCTGTTTCTTGTTATCATCAACCAAATTGGTTATATCATCAGATAAAGTATAATTGAACATCTCAGTACATAACAGAATTAACAGAAATACAACTTTGTAGATAGTGTAGAACTACAAAAACAGGTAGTAATCAAATCAGAATGGATATCGTGGTGAATCATTGTCATTTCCACTATAATTGTCTATACTCCTCAAATTGATACCAGCAACCTGACAGTTTTGAATAAAATCTGAAAATAATAAACAGTATTTAAACAAGTCAGATTTAACTAAGATCAGTCATGATATAACAGTATAAGTCATACAGGGATTCTGATTGAGTTAATAGGAAATTAAAGGTGACCACTATGCTATGTCCTGATATCTTCAGGACAGCTGTCGGTGCCTTCAGATACAGTGCTTGTATACAAACTAGAATGGAACAAGTTCCAACCAAGCAGAGTGGTGCGAGTAATAAGGGTTTTTGAAGACTCTTCCTCCCCTTTACTCCCCTAGAATAAACTGTATATTTTCGGGTCTCCTCATCCCTCATGGTTTTATATTGGGGGGGCAACCTGCTATTTATCTAAGTATTTCTGAACTTTCTCACTCCTGGGCTGGATTTCTAGTTATATTTCTTCATTTATTAAAGTCTGTCTGTTCAATCTATCCATAAATACTGGCCTAGTTACCCCTATTACTCTGGTTCCCTATCACATCAAGTTCCATTTTCTCATATTTAATTTTGGTCCATATTACCTCCTTCAGGCTAATTATATTTCCTATAAAGAGTCTCTTGGTGGACCTTACTTCTTGATCCACTCTGCCTGCAATTCTCTTTTTTCCCTTAAGTTAGTATATCTAGGCCATCTATATTAGAAATTATATCCAACCTTCTTTGCCTCATTTCTGTTGTGCTCTTTTTCTGTCATTAGTTGTCTGTCTGTCTTTTTCATTTTGCTTTCTGCTCCATTCATTGTGGCCTCTCTGCCATTGTTTCTGGAATCCTGGTACTTTTCTCTCTCTTTAGAATGTCCTGCAGTATTCTCTGTAGAGTTGGATTGGTTGTTGCGAATTCCCCCAGTTCCTCTTTATCTTGGAAGCACCTTGTTTCTCCATTAATTTCTAGGGACAATTGTGCAGGATATATCAATCTTGGCTGGAGGTTATTGTCTTTCAAGGCTTGGATTATTTCGCCCCGCGCTCTTCGAGATTTGATGACTTATGTCAATAAGTCTGCTGTAATTCTGATGGGTGCTCCCTTGTAAGTGATCTGTTTCTTGTCTCTGACAGCTTTTAATATTCTGTCTTATATTGGATTTCTGGAATCTTGATTATGATATTCCTGGTTATAGTTCTATTTTGACTGTAGGCAGCTGGAGTTCTGTATGCCTCATACATCTGAGCATCTTTCCCTTTTCCTATGTTTTGGAAGTTTTCCTTTATTATTTCTGTGAATAGCCTTTGCAGTTCCTTTGTTTGTACCCCTGCTTCTTCTTTCACATTCTTTATTCTTAAATTATAGATTCTCTTGTCATCTTCTAGCCTTTGTACTGTTACTGCTTGTTTCCTTGTTATTTGAAGCAGTTTTTCCTTTCATGTTCCCATGTTACAGACCTGTCCTCCAGTTCAGATAATCTATCCTTAGTTTCTTTCAAGCTGTTATGCCAGCTTTCAATAGAGTTTTTAGTTTCCTGGTAATCTCTTTAAACCTGCTTCATGTATTCTATGTTTTCTCTATTTTCTCCATCAAACAATTCTCCCCTTTTGTTTTTGTTCTTCCATTCTACTATCTGTTTTTTCTTGGGAGGTGCTTAGCATTTCTTTATTCTACTTATATCTTGCTTTACTTGGTTAAATACTTCACTTTTAAACTCGTCTATTCGGTCCCTCTATTGGTGCCGTGCCTGCTATTGCATGTTTTCTGTTCTCATTCTCCTTTGCATTTACCTTTCCTGGATCAGTGTTCTCAGGATTGGGGACTGAGGACCCTTTCTTGTTGTTCCCTCTTCCCATACTTTTTGTTTCTTCCATTCAGGTATATGTAGGAGGCCCAGTTTCTTTCTTTGTCAGTTTCAGTTTGTCTGAAGTATGCTGACTAAGGTGGTCCCACCCACTGTGGTATATTAGGAGGTACAGACCTAGGCAGCCTATGATGGGCCCACCCCTCCAGGTCAGCCTACTAGAGGCTTCACTGACTTAAGGTTCACTGCCAGGCCCGATTCTAATAATTTTATAGCTACACTTTGGATTTTTTATTTAGTCACATCATCTATGAAGAAAGGAACCTGTTCTGTCTAGTTATTATTTTTGAATGGTTTTATGTATATATACACATTTGTATTTGTATACATGTATACATATAAATATGCACAAATATACAGATATGTAACAACATCTTTTTTTTCCAAGTATAAAGCTGCATATCAGCAGTGCTACATATCTTCTTTACAATATAAGTACACATTCTTATATTGTTCCTGAGAAAGTTTTTGTAATGGTATAGCATAGATCTTTATTACGTTTGGTAAGGAATCCTGGTTGTGTACTTCAGTAATTTAGACTTTTTTTTTTTTTTTTTTTTTTTTGTATTTTTACCAGTACCAGGGATTGAACTCAAAACTGCCTGCTTGCAAGGCAGGTGCTTATGCCGCTGAGCTAAATCTCCAGCCCCTTTTTCTTTTTTTAGACAGGGTTTTGCTATGTAGCACAGGCTGGCCTCGGACTCTGCAGTCCTCTTGCCTCACCATCCTGAGTGCTGGGCTTATAGGTGTGTCCCACCACACCCAGCTTCATAATTTAGATACTTCTACATATTGTTTTCTTGAGCATTTTTGTTAATGTGTTTTGAATTTTATCAAATAGTTATTCTACATCTCTTTAAATGGTCAGTTTTTCTCCTTAAATTACTAATATACTGAATTAAGTGAATGTACTTTATAACATTTAAACTATTCTTATACATATTCTGGGGTAAACTTAATTAGTCATGATGTATTTTTTAAAATTCCTTGCTAAGTTAAATTTGCTTTTATTGGGGAGGCAGAGACTAATATTTTGTTTGGAACTTTTGCATCTTTTCATAAAAGGTATTGTCCTTAGTATATCCTTGAGCCTTGGTGCACGAGCTCCCTAGGACTGCTATAGCAAATTACCAAAATTTACTGGCTTAAAACAACAGGTATTTATTCTTGCATTTTTGTAGACACAGGAAGTTCAATATCAAAATGGGCCCTACTCTCTCTGAAGACTTTAAGAAGGAATCCTTTGCTTTTCCTAGCCCTTGTCCATTCAGATAGCCTCTGGCATACCTTGACAGATAGTATCACTCTAATTTCTCCCTGTGTCTTCTATATCAGCATGTAGAGATTTTCACTTCCTATAAGGACACAAATCTTTTACTGTAGGGCCCACTGTAATCTCATATCACCCTATATTGATTTGGTTATATCTAGATTGGTTATATCTAGTCTATATTTCCAAATAAGGTAGCATTCTAAGATTCCTAGTGAGCATGAATTTTGGGAGGGACTCAGTTCAACCCAGTAGATTTGATGTCAAGATTTTACTTTCCTTATGTTAATATTTGGCATCAAAAAAATAACATAGTTTCATAACTTCTAATTGTAAATCACTATGACTCTTAAAGATATTGTAAAAACCTGCAGCACCATACTGCTGACTTTATTCTGTCTTGAGAATCATACAATACAATTGGAGATAAGTCAGGTACCTGTTTAACTTTTATCACCTTAAAACATAACTCGGCATGTCTTATTTAAATTTCACAATAAATACTTTTTATTAATGCTGCACTTATAAATATGCAGAAAAACAAACCTGAAAGTTAGCAAGAAAGCACATTCTTTACCCATTCTCGAATTCACAGTAGATGATATGAGTGTTGAGATATCTGCATATGCTCTTTACTTTGCTACTGCTTTTAGACTGACTTAGCAATTCTTGTGAGCATAAAAATTAACATAATCCTTGGAATTTTAAGTGATTTTCTAAGTAAGTTTTGCGGTGTATAAGTGTTGGTTTCTCCTTTTTTTTACATACTTTAGAACTTTATGTGAAATGTAACTATAATTACATAAATTTGTGTGAGTATAAGAAAAACATTGTGCTTATTATCTTCATTCTAGAGCTTTTAACTATCATTAACTTAGCCTGGTGGGAAGTTTTTTTTTAATCTTCATTCAAATAAAAATTTCCCATAGTGGGATTGTCAAACCAATTGCTATTAGACCTATAAGTGAAGAAAACTGTAGAAGGTAAAATTTTGTTAACACTGAAAAATACTGGGTGATAGGATATTATATCTTTCATTCATTGTTAAACTATATTTTTGTTTTTAATTTTTAGATTTTATTCATCACATTAATGATTCAGACACTGTACTGAGAACCAATAATAGCAGCCCGGGTAAGTACTTTGTAATTTAGTTTGTTTCTTTGTTCCCCATCTTGTTCCAAAGATTTAAAGTAGAATATATAACCTCATTTTAAATAAATGGTTAGTACAAAATCATTATTGTATTAGCTGAACTGCTTCCAAATTGTTACTGATATGTTAAAAAAAAAAATGACTCCCCAAAAGATTATGTTAATGTTAACTGGGCAACATTTTGTCCATACAAGTTATATGTCTCTAATTCGAAAATCCAAAATTTGAAGTGCTCCAGAAGTGGTTAGGGGCTGGAAGTGTAGCACAGTGGTAGGATACTTGCCCTAATTTCAGTCTCCAGCTCCATAAAACCAAACCAGTCATTGTATAGTCAGTAAAATCTATGCAAATTTTTTTTTTTTAAAAAAATCTCCAAAATCTGAAACACTTCTGGTCCCACACATTTCAGATGAGAGATACTAAACTTGTATTATTATAGCTCACAATGGTATCCAGAGTATGTGTATTTTCTAATGAATAATCAACATTTTTAAAGAAAATATATCCTTTTTTTTTAATACCAGAAATCAAACTCATGACCTCGTGCTTGCCACGCAGATGCTGAAGAAACTGTATCCCTTCTAATTCTATTAAATGTCTACAAGCATACTACTTAGTTCATTAATTCATTTTAGATATATATTTTTATTTACTAATATTTAGACTATACAAGTTTGTAACACATAATTAATTTCATGGTAATAAGCAGAAGCTAGTAAACAAGGAAAAATAAATTGAAATTTTTGCTTAAACATGATTTCTTGGCAAAGTTTCCTTTTATTTATTAAAAATAAACCTTTGGGGGCTGGGGTTTTAGCTCAGGGCATAAGCGCCTGCCTTGAAAGCAGGCAGTCATGAGTTCGATCCCCGGTACCGATAAAAAGGGAAAAGGAAAAAGACAAAAAAATAAAATAAAATAAACCTTTGGAGCTGGGGTATCACTCAGTGGTATATAGAGACCCTGGGTCTGATCACCAGTACCACAAAATAATAAAACAAAAATGAAAGTCTTGAGGCCAGTTGATTGAATTCAGTATGGAAGTCATAGATGAGTTCATGTAAATGCTAATGTAAGCTTGTTAACACCTAAAGCTGTTACGTGTTCAGGTTTCAGGGGTACTAAACTGATGTCATTTTTATGAAGAAGCATACTGATCACTAAGAGAACAACTGATTTAACAAATGTATTTTACAAAGCCTGTTATTTATCAGGAACCCTGCTAGGCACTGGGGATATAACAATGAATAGATTTCTCTTCACATGAAGTATATATTCCAATGTATGCTATTTAGTGTCTTCCTTTGCCCATTAATTAAACCTAATTAATCTTTCATTGGAGTAAACTGACACGAGTAAAGAACCAGCTAAAAGTATGTGTGTCCATAGCATATCCACTCACTCATGTTCTATTGCTAACAAGGGGCAAAGAAAGACACTAAATAGCACACACTGGAGTAACACACATACTTTTGAATTACTGTATTAAAATTTCTTGCAGCCAGTCCTGTACCTCAGATTTTTTTTTTTTTTTTTTTTTTTTTTTTTTTTTGGTATGGGAGATCGAACTCATGATCTTGCATTTGCCAGGCAGATGCTTATGCCAGCCAGGTTTTCAAAATACCAAATAATACAGTCTTATTTGATTTTTCATTTCTGTTAATACTTGTTTTGTATAGCTGGGTGCTCCCAAATTTGGTCCATAGACATTTAAGATTGTTATCTCTTCCTCTTTAAGTTTTTCCCAAAGTAGTATGTAGTGAGCTTCTTTATCTCTTTGTATCATTCTTGTCTGCAAACAGAATAGCTATCCCTGCTTTTCTTGGGGGATCCTGTTGCATGGAGTATTGTTTTCCATCCTTTGACCTTCACGAGTTTCCTTTTGGGTTATATGGGTTTCTTGTATACAGCATATGGTTAGATGTTGTTTCTTGATCCATTTTGCCAGTCTGTTTCTTTTAATTTGTGAATGGAGGCATTTACATTAATGGTTATAACTGATATATATTGATTTACTTTTTGAATGTTATCTTTCTGCTGTTAATTCTTTACCTTTCCACTCTGCTTAACTGGTTGCCTTGCTTAGTGGTTTTTTCCTATGTCTATCTAGAATGTTTTTCATATAAGATAGAATATGATATCACAGAGTTTTATTGGATCATTGAACAGAACTGTTTGCAGTATCATTGATGGAATGTCCACTTTACAAGCTTTAATTTTGTGACTTGAACAATTATTTCTAAGATGACAATATGTAATCCATTAACAGTAATTTCCTACTGTTCATTTTTTTTCTGCAAATCTGTATAACTTGTACCCTTTCTCTGCTTTTTTTTTCTTTTCTCCTTAAATAAAATTAAAAAAAAAAAATAGAATGTTTTTCAGTATTCTTTGCAGGGTTGGTTTGATGGTCATGAAGTTCTTCAGCTGTTCTTTGTCATGGAAGTATCTTATTTACCCATCCATTTTGAAGGACAGTTTTGTAGGGTACATCAGTCTGGGTTGGAAGTCATTTTCCTGTAGGATCTGACATACTTCACTCCAAGCTGTTACTGACTTCATTGTGTTGAAAAGTCTGCTGTGCTTCTGATAGGCTTTCCTTTATAGATGATCTGTCTCTTCTCTCTAGCAGCTTGTAATATTCTGTTCTTATGTTGGATTTCTGGGATGTTGATTATTATATGTCTGGGTGTAGTTTTATTTTGTTTATGGTTATTTGGAGTTCTGTATGCTTTACTGATCTATATGTCAGTTTCCAATTCTCATGTTTGGGAAATTTTCAGCTATTCTGTAAATAGCCCTCTTGATATCATTTGTGTTGTCACCTTCTTTTTCATTTATACCTATAAATTTTAGGTTGTTTTTCTTTGTATCATCTTGCAGCTGTTGAATTGTTATTTCCTGAGTCCTTGTTATTTTTAAAAGATTTTCCCTTTCCTGTTCACTAGCTGAAATCTTGCCTTCAAGGTCTGAAATTCTATCTTTACTTTCTTTGAGGCAGTTTTGCCAACTTTCGATGGAGTTTTTGATTTCCTGTATATCTCTTTGAATCTGCTTCATGCGTTCTCTTTGTTTCTTAAATTGTTTATTCAGGGTTTCCATCTTTTTGCATTGTTCCTCTAATTTTTTAACTATGTCTTTTTTAGATGTGTTCAGCATTTCTTTCATTACATTTATCATTTCTTCTTTTACCTGGGAGATTATTTCTGATCTGAATTCTTTTAGAGCTCCCCGCAGTTGTTTCTTTGCTTCAGTTGTTATTGTTTCAGGAATTTCAGGTGTTTGGCTTACATTTTCTTCTATGTCCATGTCTCCTAGGCTTGCTTGGGTTGGGCTAGAAGTTTGAGATTGCATATTGCTCTTTTGTTTTGTCACTTTCCTATATTCCTGGGTTTCAGCGATGTTCCAAAGCTTCCCCCATGTGCTGGGAATCACCTAGCCCAATTTTGACTCCCAGGGAAGACTGTAGGCAACTGCTACTCACTTGAAGGTTCCTGGGCATGGCCCAGTTAGGCCCGTAGGGACCTCCCAGGCATCCTCTGATGATTCGGAATGTCGGTGGTGGTCTTACCCGCTGGGAGCTACCTTCCAAAGCTTCTCCTGTGTGCTGGGAATCAACTCACACATGTTCAGCTCCCGGGACTGAATGCAGGCCCCTGCTAGCCCCACTGAAGAGATTTTTACAAAGAGCTTTTTCATGAAACATGAAATTTTTGGGGCGGGGGATTTAGCTCAGTGGCATAAGCACCTGCCTTGCAAGCAGGCGGTCATGAGTTCGATCCCCGGTACCGATAAAAATGAAAAAGACAAAAAAAAAAAAAAAAAAAAAAGAAACATGAAATTTTTCCAGGCAACTCTTGGCATTTATTTCCTTTGCCAACTAAAGAACCCATATCTCTTCCAGCTTCTCTAGGAAGCCACTCCTTTCTGATTGTGCTGTACCTTTCAGAATTCCCACTAGCTCACAGTTGAGGAACATGGTAACACCTCCTCAGATGCTTCTGTGGTTAAAACTTCACTCTATCTTGTTAAACATTTCTGTTGCCGTTTCTTTGCACCATTTTCCTAAGAAGACACAGTTTGTTCATCAAGGCCGCCTTGACCGCTGAGGTGCCCTGCAGGCCCCATCCCAGCCAGGCAGATGTTTACCCTGACCACCAACACTGTCTTAAGATGATTTTGCTATTCTAACATCAGTTGACAGCACTGTTTATTAATATCTTATCAAATTTCTTATCCAAAGAGAGTTATTTCATTAAGGTCATAAATATCACAACTAGTCTTGTGGTGAAACACTATGTTGCTTAAATTGTTCTGTTCTGACCTGTGTTGTTATGTCCTCTTTTATCTTAATCTTTTTTTAAAAATAAAAATAAATAAATATCACAACTACTTTGATGACTTGGAAAACATCATCAGCAAAGTTAGTTTATTTTGCATATTGATACCTTATGTTGATACCAGCATATAATGGATAACTGCTCAGTACAAGTCATTGTTATAAATGTTTTACAGCAACCCTATGATACTGTAAACTCCACTTAGCAGAGGAAGAAACCAAGGCACAGAGATTTACCATACCAAGCACATCTGACTGTTAATTGGCAGAATTAATAATCAGTTGTTCTGTCATTTTACTTCCAAAGCCTGTGCTCTTAACCACTATAGGTAGCAGAAGCAAATTTTTTTCCAAAGCGTAAAAAAATACACGTTCAAATAACTAATAAAGGATGAGAAAGAAATTAAATGCTTGATTTTATAGTATGCTAAATAAAAGATAAAGAATAAAATTCAAAATAGAGCTGACAAAATATATTCTTCCTCTTTGACAAGTGATGAGTACAACGATTGCTTTTTTGGAGTCTAGGAATGTAACTCAGGTAGAATACTTAGCCAATATGCACAAAACCCTGGATTTAATCTCCAGGACCACAAAAAATAGTTAAATAGATAGTTTCTTACATAAAGCTGATTACTAGCAAATGCTCTGTTGTGAAACCAAATAGAATAGTAAGCTCTTTTGTGAAATTAGTAAGAATTATTTGTATTCTGATAACAGACAAAGTTGCCATCTACAGATCATTGTTAAGAAAAATACATCTACTGATTCCCAGTTCTCTAAATAATATCTAAGTTCCTAGGCATCTAACAAATATGATAAATTTCCAGAATTATTTTAGGTTATATTTTCATCAGTGATTAGATTTGTTATTAAAAGAAACCTGCCTTTTCACTTTTTAGCTACTCATGTAACAAACTATTACCCTGAATCATATTTCTTATTTGTTGTGAAAATAAAATCAAATAACCTCAGCCCAATATTTTTTCTCCAGGGGTAGAATGAAACAATATTTGATGGAATATTTTTATTTCTATCTCCAGCAGAGGTTAAAGATATACTTTAAAACTTTGTACTCTCACCTTTAATTTTTTATTTTTAGGTCAAAGATTCCTATTGACAAAAATAGTCCTCTGGTTTTTTTCAGAAAGGAGAAACTTATTCATAGTAAAAATGGAGCATCACTCTCTGGGGACTTGATTTTCCTGCCTTTTGTGGCCTTCTCTAATATAGTGCTTTATCGTTGCAGTGATTTGTCCAAGTGCTGGGAGTGGAGACTATCCTGACAATGATTCCATGATCTTCTATGCAAATGACACAGGAGTCCAGCAGTTTGAAAAGTGGTGGAATAGGTCCAAGACGGTACCTTTTTACCTTATAGGACTCCTCCTGCCACTGCTCAATTTCAAATCTCCTTCATTTTTTTCAAAATTTAATATCTTAGGTAAGGTACAGTGTTGGGTTGTAGCATATCTTTATAGTGAAATACATGCTGGATTCTTCAATACTATGATCTAACTGGGGAGAGAGTTATATTTCAGGCTTGATCATTATGTTTAATTTGTTCAATTGTACAGTACCCTGGTTTTTGTTAATCTGCAGTGTGGCAGAAAGTTAAAAATAAATACTATTTCTATTTCAAGTCCCTTTTTGACTTTTTGAGACATGAGTTATTTGATTTCCCATTCTTACCTTACCAAACAGCTCTTCCTTTTTTCTTAGGGTGTAACTAGAGAAAACAAACCAAAATTTTAGGAGAATTCCAAATGGTTATAGGACTCCTCAGTTTTAAGGGTTGGAAACATTAAAACTTACTAAAGGAGTTTATCCAATTTTTGTTTTGTTTTGTTTTTTACAATTGTTTCCCTTTAAGAGTATTGCACAGAATTGTCTCTTGATGTTAAGCCTGAGATCATTCTCTAACTCAGACTTCTTAGATTTATTCTGCTTTTGATCTTTTCCTTGCTACTGATTCTTTCTTAGAATCCTATTGCCTCCTTAAAGGAACAGCCCTGTTCCTGTGAGTCCTGTTTTTCAGAAACCACCGAAGGAATGTTTTGATACTGTTTAAGGTGGCAAGAGGAAACTCCCAGTAAAAGCTTTAATCTGATTAACTAAAGAAAATACAAGGATAAAAAAATTCATAGATACAAGTAGACTGTAGATTTTATCTCTTCTCTATAAACCTGACCTCTTAGTAGGCAGCCTTTGGTATAAAACAACCAGATTATCTATCACATTGATGATCCAGGAAATGGAAAACTGAAATGTGATGGTTTTCCAGAAGACAAAAAGAGGAAGTAAAAATACTTCTTCATGCCTTTTGCCTCACTGTAAACTGCTATTAACAATCAGAAAATAAAGCATTGTGGTTATATAAGCTCTTGTCTCTTGTTTTCATCCTTTCTGAGTTAGCTAATCTCTAAACCCACAGCAGAGCTTATACAGCTCATTTGTGGTTTCCTGATTTTGTTGCTGACTTTCCAGTGGAACAAGTCCTTTAAAAGCATATAAACTTATAGAAAGATTTGTTCAGTTGGGCAAAACAGTCAGCAGATTTCTAACCAGGTTGATTATAATCCAACTCCTTAAGCATATTCTGCTTTTGCCTTTTCCTTAGTACTTGATTTTTAAACAATTTTAGAGAAACTAACATCAAAGGACATTCCTAGGTTTCCTGACCATGCTACATAATGACTGGACTTACATTATCAAAATAAATCATTCTCTGACTTCTACATTGCTAAAACATGCTTCATATCCACTTTACCCTATCTGTAATACCTTGAGTAGAATTTGGAATCTTTCCATTAGTGAAGTAGTACCACAAAATCAGAACCTCATATAGATACTAGATCAGATATTTCATAAATTACGTAGCTTATCATTTTGCTTAAATGTTTATGATCCACATTCACTACTTCACATTCTTAATCACTTCACGTTAACTATTGTGACATAGTTTTCTGCTTTTTGATAATCTCTGATATCCAATAGAAAGAATAAAAGTTGATTTCATGTTCTTTTATTCTTCGGTGTAACTGTACAGTTTTATAATGAACTCTTTTTGTACACATTTGCCATACATAATGGTTATATTCCTTGTGAGGAGTTGGTTCATACTCTTAACATATCACTATTCTTTTTTCATTCCCTTCACATTTGAAAAATGTCTCCCTACTTCCTATTATCTGTCTTTTATTTTGCTCTTTATTTATATTTTGGGTCTTTCATATAAGATAAACCGTGCAGTATTTAGGCTTGTGTATCTGATTTATTTCACTTAATATAGTATGAAAATGCATCCATTTTCCTACAACTGGCTCATGTTTGTCCTTTGTGGCAGAGTAATATTCCATGGTATATAAATGACCACATTTTCTTTATCCATACCTGTATCTTCCACCAACCTCAGTGGATAAGTAAATTAAACATTTTTGTATTCAGCAATATATAAGCTACCTTAATTCTTTTTTTTCATTCATTCAGTTCTTTTTTAAGCTTACTTTACATAGATTTATTTTCTGTTAACTCATATAACTCATTTCTATTACTCAAATTCCAGTTGAGTTTTAGTGGAAATAGTCAATGAAGGTAATAATGTGCTACACTTCATTGAGAATATGGAAATAAAATTTAATTTTAAAGTAAGTCTGATAATAAAAGATAATGGTTTCTGAATTTTTTTTCTTCCAGGCACAGTATCCGTTCTCTATTTGATTTTTCTTGTCACTTTGAAGACTATTCGGCTGGGATTTCATTTGGAATTTCACTGGTTTGTGTCAACAGAATTTTTTGTACCAGGTAAGCTATTTTGGCAAAATAAATAATAAATTACAGTAATGTGAAGTATAAGTTAATCATTGTTATTGTGTTATTCTAAAACAAACAATGGTATTTTTATGCATAACATCTTTATTAATCTTGTTAAGCTAAAAATAGGACTGCATTGAGACTTCTTTGGATTTTTTGCAGTTAGGGATTACCAAAGCTGTTTGTCATTTCTACTAGTTAGTAAAGTTCATTTACATTATTATACAACTGAAAAAATAAAAAACTCATTGTCTTGATTAAGAAACATATTCCTATGGCTAGTGATATATGATGTGATGCTGCTCATTAAAATCATTGTTCTTAAGGGTTTTTTCATATTACTATTTTCTGACTAATAGTATGATTATTAAATGTTTGACTTCCTCTGTAATTTTTTTTCTTGTAATTATAACTTAGAATTTTCTTTGGTTTCACCAAACTGAAAACCATGAACATGGTAAAAGCACCATGAAGCAAAAAATAAATAATGCTATCACTTCTCAGCCTTTTGGCTAAAATCAAATGTAAATAATGCTAAATGAGACAGATTAAATAATGGAATTGATTGTTATATAAAGATTTTGAAAACTAGTAATCAGAAAATAATACACAGTTGTGTTGTTGGTTGAGAACGACTGCTTTCTTTCCATTCATCAACCCTCAATTTATATAGTCTAGATTTTCAAATATGTATTTAGTGCCTACTAGGTATAATTTTTATTTGCCACTCAATTTTTTTTTAACAACATGCTTGACTTTTCCAGGTGTGGATTTGGTGATCATCGGAAGTTGTTGTTTATGTTTCCATAGTACATTAGTTTTGATTTTTTTTTCATCTCTGTTGAAAGCCAATGAAGACTCAAAAGTCAGTAAAGATTCAGAATAAAGGAAGTATTGAGCCTTGAAAAGCACTATCCTCTCCAAGATTGTGTTTAACATTGGACATAATTGAAAATGGCACCTTTAAACTAATTTGTTCATTGACTGATAAAAGTAGTCTAAGATATTAATTTTTAAATGATATGAAGGCAAAATCAGAAGGACTAATCAGAAGGCTGAATCAGGTTTGCCATGAGTTCAAGGCCAACCTAGACTTAACAGCAAGACCCAAAACTCTGTCTGTCTGTCTGTCTCTCTCTCTCTCAGAAATCTAGAATGGATGAATCTTACCATCTTTATTTATTTATTTTGGGACCAGAGATCAAACTCATGATCTAGCGCTTGACCAAGCAGGTGCTTATGCTGTTGAGCTAAATCCCCTGTTGAATCTTACCATCTTAATGAGAATTTCACATAAATTCTGATCAAATCTTTGCTTAGGTACTTGTTTACCTATGTTTGTTTCTCAACCTTTACTTTTTTTTTTTCTTGGTATGATGATTAAACTTATGGCCTCATACATGGTAGGCAAGCCCTCTACCACTGAGCTATATCCTTAGCCCTAAAAGTTTACTTTTCAGTGCCACAGATCCTATCATCAATCTTTTTATCAGGTAAACAGGATAAACATTATGTCATCCTACTTTTTTTTTTTTTGCCTACAAAGCTTTCACTTCTTTCTCCTGAGTCATGTCACAACAATTTTCCCCTATTCATACCAGTATACAGCTGTCTCTCAACATAAATAGCAGAAATTCATGTGGTTTCATATTCACCCCAATTATTGCCTCTTTTAAAGAAACTTTTTAGAAACATTGCATATGATCACTGTTTCCAACTTCTTTTTCTACTTGGCTTTGAATTCTGATCTACAGGCTTTTGCTCCAATCATTCCTCTGTAAACAGTGACTCTATCTTGTCAGTACAATGACCAGTTCTCATTATTCTTAGCTTATCAGCAATATGGGGCAGAATTCAGTCACTCTGTCTACCTTAAAACACATTCTGTACTTGACTTTAGAATCCTACTTTCTCTTGATTCTTCAATGTAGCTTGCTTCTCCTCCTCAAATTTCTGACCTCTAAATGATATAGTTGTCTAAGGTCTAGAACTCAAATCTCTTTTTCTCTCCTCCCTTAGTCCCTAAGCAATCTTATATAATCACCTGGCTTTATATAGTATCTGTATTGTGACAACTTTATAAATTTTATACTTTTTAACCAGTTTCTCCACTAAAATCCATACTCCTACATCCCTTGTCCCCCCCCTTTTTTTTTTCTTTTGAGGGGTAGACTTGCTTTTCAGGTTTTTGTTGAAGTGTAAAATTCATATAGTGTGCAGTTTAAAATGTTGATTTTAGTTTTGTTTTTTGTGATCTTGGGGAACAAACCGAGGGCCTCGTGCATGCAAGGCAAGAATTCTACCACTGAGACACATTCTCAGCCCTAAAAGTGTGCATTTTAGTTAATTTTCACAAGTTGAACACAACATATAGTCAGTATTTAGAACAGAACTAGAAATTACCAATCTTTATGTCCCCACTATTGTTAAATACATGCAAGAATAACCCCTAAATTTCTAACACCAAAAGTTAGTTTTTCCTGCTTTTACATTGTATAAATGAGATATACAATATGTCTTCTTTGGGATCTTGCTTTCTGTCAAAATTGTATTGTGCAGTTAATCTTTATTGTATTCATAGTTCATTTTTTTGGTTTCTCTTTTATTTTTTTTAGTACATGTTAGCAGTACATGTGGTTTATAATTATCTTAGGAAGTGGGTACCTGTACATAACACAGCTAGATTCTTTTTTTAATCTCCTTACTCTTCCCTCCCACCTTCTCTAAAACCCCTTTGCACATTTTTTTCTTGTCTTTTTTAAACTCTAATTAATACATGTTTGCAGTGCATAATTATTATATTCCCTGTAAGGAACTGATGCATGTATACTTCAAATGATTCATCCTCTTTGGTATTCTATAATATACATACTGCAGTTTATCTTTTACCACTTGTAGACATTCAGGTTATCTCCAGTTATATCTATTAAGTTAATTGCAATTCCGTCCTTACACAAGTGTTTTTATTGAATATATGGTTGCTTTTTCTCTTTCTCTTTTTTTTTAATCTATGTTTTTTGGTGGTTTTTGTTGGTTGGTTGGTTTTTTGTTGTTGTTTGATTTGGTTTGGTCTTTTTGTGACAGGGTTTCAGTATGCAGTTCAGGTTGTCCTTGAACTTACTTTGTAACCCTGGCTGGCCTCAAATTTTTTTTTTATAAATTACTTTATTTGTTAATATTAAGAAGAAAAGGTAAAACAAATTTTCACAACAAAATAATGAAAAAGTAACAATTGTTGATAAATTACCCAGCATTATCTTTAGCCACTCAAGTACAAAATATGGGCATAAAAATTTCTTCAATCAATGTTAGCACAACCTTTCCTATTCAGTGAACTAAGTAACACTAATGGTATAATTAACTTGCAGTTTTTTCTATTCCCTTCTATCCTTTCTCTTTTCCCCTATCTTAGTTTCTTCTTTTTATTGAACAGTTTCCTCCCATTTCACAGTGACTATTGTATATTTTGAACCTTATGGTTTCACATATGTCACTGTGGTGTGATGTTTTTCAATCCTTCTGGGAAGATACACAGAAGGGAAATACCTGGGTTGAATGGGATCTCTAATCCTAATTTTTTGAGGAATCTCCACACTAATTTCCACAGTGTTTGTACTAGTCTACTCTCTAACCAACAGTTGTAAAGGGTTTGTTTTTCCCTACAGATCCAGGAGCATTTTTTATTTGTTGATATATATTTTTTTAAATTAAATAATTTTTTAATGAATAAGGGAGAGGATGGGATAAAAGGGGGCATAACAACGTAACAATACAGGTTAAAGCATAACACTTTCATCAACCTAGTGCTTCACCACCAAATAACCTGACTTAATAATAGTTACCATAGTGTCTTTTTCTTTGAACTATTTGAATATAACTTCATATGCTATAGTATCAAACATATCAAGACTGTGTAACACCATTCAAGTGGATGAAATCATTGTATTTAGAACCAGCTAACAGAAAAAAAAATGATCAATGGTTTCAATATTATCTCTTTGCCTATAACAATTTTTGTTTATACTACCACATACGATAAAATCCAGCAAGTTACAGCATGATAAAATCAGTGGAGACAGAAGAACCATAGTTTGGTGCGACTTTAAGACAAGATGTTATTAAATCGGCACTAGCTGTTATTATGTCTTATTTTCTTCAAAGTGGCTGTTCATTGCATCACCGGCCATGATATCAAACAGCCCAGAATAAAGCCATTCCATTTAATGAGTGAAAATTTTATAAGGCTTCAAGGCCATATAATGGGGAATCATGGTTATCACGTACTTTTATATATTTGATTCATTTCCTACACTAGGGAAACTATTCGGAGTTCACAGATGCGAGTTTGATTTAGTTCACTTATGAGTATGGTTTCAAGCTGTGCCCATTTTTGATAAATACCTCAATGTGATCCTTCCTTATAGCTGAGTAGTACTCCATTGTATAGAAGTACCACAACTTTTTTATCCATTCCTCGGTTGATGGACATTTGGGTTGTTTCCATGATCTGGCAATTACAAATTGTGCTGCTATAAACATAGGTGCACGTATATCACTTTGGTATGATGCTTTCAGTTCTTCTGGGAAGATGCCTAGTAGTGGAATAGCTGGAACAAATGGGACTTCCAATCCCAGCTTTTTGAGAAATCTCCAGACTGACGTCCACAAAGGTTGTACCAGTCTACACTCCCACCAACAGTGTAGGAGAGTTCCTTTTTCCCCACAGCCTCTCCAGCACTTGTTGTTGTTGATCTTCTTGATCCTGGCCATCCTTTCAGGAGTGAGATGGAATCTCAGTGTGGTTTTAATTTGCATTTCCCTAATAACCAATGATGATGAACATTTTTTCATGTATTTATTTGCCATTTGTATTTCTTCCTCTGAGAAGTGTGTATTCATCTCAGATGCCCATTTTTGGATTGGGTCTTTGAATTTTGGGGGTCTGGGTTTTTTTAATTCTTTATATATTTTAGACAAAAGTCCTTTGTCTG